TTAACGCTTCCCCAGTGGCTTCTTCATTCTTGTGCCATTTGGCATCAATCTTCTCCATGGCCAGCCCTCAGGAGTAACGCTTTAATTTCTTCATTTTCGCATCATCGAGTGAACTTCGCTTAATTTCCGTTCGAAGAAGAGGAAGCTGCAGGAAGCGAGCTTTTCAATGTTGGTTCTTTGGTTGCCAGCCCAGATAGGACGTAACGTGAACATTACGACTATTGGAAATCGTATTGCTCTAACGTGTTTATGGTCGCTTTACTGGCGAAACGTGTCATATAGGCGGTAATTCGGAAATGTATTAAATTTACGCAAAATACAAACAAAATGTATGGAATTGCGGTCGTAGGCAAATCAGGTCCGAACTCGCATCTGCAATAGCGGCGATTATTCAGCATCATTCTACTATGGCAATGGCACGCATATGCACATACTAAAAATATTATAACGTCTGCATTTATGGTCGTCGTAAATTACACTTTAACGATTTTGTGCAGTTGTTCGGAAACATTTCTCTGTGTCTACATCGAATAAAAGTTCCCTTAACAATTCAACTACCACGTTGACTCAACTCTTTCGTATGCTAATGGCAGTTTTTCCGTCTATAATTGCCACTGTGTGTCTTTGAATATATTTTACGGCTTGCTGGTATAATTTCCGAAGCTTCTTTCGGCGAACGGTTGAAAGGCTAATAATTGAACTCTTTAGCAGCGTACCTGGACTTCCGAACCAAAGCTGCCGCCTACCTCTACGCCCCCTACAACAACTGCTACTCATCGGGAGCCACCGTGTTTCCTCCTCTATATCTTTCGTCATTCTATCCAGCATCGTCACTATTGCCGCCCACCATGCCGCCCAATCTCTGTTCCAGGCCGCCCTCACCAAGATCGCCGCACAACCTTACCATGCCACTTCGGCTCCACAGCATTGCTGGATAGACTTGGTAAGCTATGTTTTGTTCACTTTTTTCAATTTTTTGTCTATTTTTCAATCTTTTGTGTGTGTGTTGCATGCGATTTTTGCCAGGATGGTTAACCAGGCAGGCTCTCTTAACAATATGTCTCAAGAGCTGGGGCGTGGAAGTTATCTAACTTTTCAGGGGGCACCCGGTATACTTTTGTATGATGGGTGATTGCTTCATTTGTACAGGGTGTCCTAATAATTAGCAGCCTTCAAAGGCTTGAAACGTTTAAATGCGAACAACCTGCTTAGTTCACCTTGAACATTCCGTCTTTTTTGTTCAAATTTCTCCAAAAACAGTTGGTTAACTTTTTATGTTATGCACTGATCAATGAAAGATGCGCGCCAATGGTTTTTCTGGAAATCAAAAAATTATTGTTCAATTCTGCATTCAGTTCATTTAGGGTTTTTTTGCTAGATTGCATAGATTTTGCGTAAAAAGAAAAGCCGTTGTGTCCGAGAAAATATCCGCAAAATTTAACTTTATTGATAATTTCCCGAAAAAAATCAGTGCGTGACAGTGGGTCATGAGCAAATAAAATTATTTTTCGATTCTTCAATCAATTGGGATCAAAAAAGCTCTTGGGTTTTTGTGCTGACATGCACAGTTTTTTCGTAAAAAAATAAAAACCGCTGACCGACAAAATTGACGCAATATTTAACATTGAAACTTTCCAAAAAAACCAGTGCGCGCTAATGATTTTTCTACAAACAAAATTATTTCCTAATCGTAAACTCCCTTGGGCGGAAGAAAAAAAGCTCTTTTGGGTTCTTTTGCGCATAGTTTTTGATCAAAGTAATAAAAATAAGTGGGACACATGGTTTGCGATAAAAAAATAAGAGATTTTTTGTGCGAGAAACTTACCTCATAATTTAATTTGATTTGGTAAAACGCGATGAGGCGATGGCTGCAAGTGAAAAYTCTCTTTCCTTTCTAAATTCAGTTGRAATTCAAGAAGTTCCTTGGAGGTTTTCTGCTAAAATGCACTGTTTTCGATTAAAAAAAGGGGGAAAATCGTGTATTGTTCGAGAAAATTGCCCTAGTTTTAACATGTGTTGGTTTTCAGAAAAGGCATTGTTTYTTCTKCAAAAGAATGTTTTTMAATTCTTTTGTTTTGCATTTTTGCTGAGGAGCCCAGTTTTTGCGTAAAAAAATTAAACCGTTGTAATTCCAAGAAAMTTWCCGAAATATTTAGCCAGAAAGAGAAGGTGCAGGCAAACAAAAATGCTTCCAATTTTACATTCAGCTGGGAATAAAAAATCGCWTTGAGTTTTYCAGCTAAAATTCAGTTYCTGAATTGAYCACAATATTGAGCGTCTGATATTTTCCGCAAATAATGAGTAATAAAAAATGAAACATTAATTAGCGAATGGCATCTAAGACGCGCACTTTACCGCTGCACATAAACCGAGCAAAAAAAACAATTACGGCATTATTTGCAATGCATATTGTTTAGAATCGATAAAGTTGTCGTAAAATTTACAATTTACACTTTTTGTCATCGATAAATATTCGCCCACGTTTCAATAATAAAGTGTTTCTATGCCAAGTGTTTTGTCTTGATTTTATAGCGTGCGCCCTATAAAACAGTTATTTACGCCTCATCCACTTGAGAAGATTTATCACGGCAATAAAGCAGCGATAATGCGAATTATTATAACCAGAAGAAGAACGAACAATTGAAATTGTTATTTTATTTGTTCGTTTATTAATTGCTATTGCCGTTTTGTGCGGTCGACTTTTTAATCGCAATCTTAATGGTTTTTTGGAAAATTTCTCAAGAATGATTCAACTGGAAACAACAACAACAATATTCACGAAGCATTAGAATATATGTTTTATGTGTTTGTCCAGTGAAGTGTTATGGCTTTCGCCAACTGCACAAAGGCGTTTGATACACGCTCGCATAAATTGATGGAGTAATTTCGAAATGCGCCACTAATTCACTGGCAACAGGAAAGGGAGTTGGCACGACAACCAATAGAAAAATGTTGCTAAAACATTAAGTGAGATATACGGATATGGAAGGCCGTAAAAGACATACACTTACTAAAATTTAACACCTACTTTAGTACGATTTAAAACTAATCTCCAGTGTATCCAGTTGCAGCAACGACTGCATATATTATATCCCGAATGCAATATTTTACAAACGCTATAAAACGGGTATAAAGTGCGTTTTACGGTTCCATTTAATGTTGCGGTACGTGGAACGGCTCTAGGGAGTTATTCCCTTTTGGTCAGTTAAAATTTATTATTCCTCCGTCCGGTTTAGCGCAATTAAATCCCTGAGCATTTCGTTTTCCCAAACTCTTTCCCGATCAAGAATTTGCACTTTTTTATCCACCAAGTATCTTCGCAGCTGATTCTATTTCCTAATGAAATTTTTACCACCGTCAGAACGAAAGTTTTACAGCTCTTTTTGTCCCCCGAGCTCAAAGAAACCGTTTTTTAAATGCGATTTTAACAGCGGAACATAAAAGGAATTAGTCAGGGTCGTAACATGATTGCCCTTGCTAACATTAAGAGACCGTTTCAGTTGCTTTTGAAAGAAAGTAATAAAAGTAAACACGTGTGTGAACTGTCTCTAGACGCCTTTTTGACCGGTTTATTATGCAGCGCTCGCTTTGCCTCGTAAAATGACTTTTGATTAGGTACAATGTTTGGAAGCCAAATTAGCTGAAATTCGAAATATCGGCCAAAAGTCTCCAGTTGGGTGAGCGTAAAGACCCAAACTTTCCGTGTGCAACAACGGCGATATCATCCGCGAATCTCAAGAGGCCAGGACAGAAGAGACAAAATACCAGTCAGAGCACTGGGCCACTGCACTGACAGCAAGTTAGAATCAATAGATTAATTAGGTGCAATTCGTGCGCCAAAAACTCCCGAGAAAAGCAGTAAAAATTAAGCTCTTAAGCTAGTAAAGAACATCGTAAATTTCTTTAGCCGGCTGCGAGCGTTTGTTTCATCTACGACCATCCACATCGGAGATTACCAGAAAAATTAGACGAGCGAACGTAAAAGTCAGAAAACACATATATTACAAAGTTTATATGGGTTAGACTAAGTCGGCAAAAGAACCGACAATAAAATGATCGGAAACAAAACAAAGGTGAAAATTTTTAACAGAACATAAAAAGTTCGAGGCAATCGTAAAGAACTGTTCGACTTATTACTCTCGGAACCATAAAATCGGTCCGACGATTTGGTGCAATAATATCACTACTGGCCTGCGGTCAGGCACGGAATMGATCASATTACTAATTTTAGACATTATTACGTTTAAATTAAATAATTTAAACATTGGAATCACGCCCGATATAGTCACCTTAAATTTTAATTAATGACAAGSCTGAATGGTGATAGTTTGCGATGTATTCATCTTCTAGTCGACTAGAATCAACCATCTTTCAGCCCCAGAATGGATGTGCACTCAATATTAAGTAGGTTTTTCTTGCGAAATGCTGCATAATCCCTCCGACAGATGAATGATGTGAATGAACACTGGCTTAATTACTCATAAGCATGCGAAGAGCTCATACCGCATGAGGCAAAATCAGTCCGGCAAGCTGAGCAGGATTGAAGAAATGTTACAGGAACTGAAAAAATTTCGTTCGGTATTCCAGCAATTGAAATGCTTGGTCTCCTGTCAAATATTCGCAAAAACGCTTCTTAATAAATTTTAATTCGCAGTGAGTAATTCGTTGTGAGTAATTCGTTGTAATCGTGCTGTTATGCATCGGCGCATATTTAGGTGCATGGTTGCAAGGCTGGAAGATAAGAATCCGCCTTAAGGCAGACTCGGAAGCCTTAAAATCTCATGGCATTTTAACAGATAAAACGCAGTGTTTTAATAATTAATTTATAATTGCCTGGAGTATTTGGTTCACTAAAACATGGTCGAGAAAAAGCATCAGAGCAGTCACTTTTTGAGACACACAGAACCAAAAAAACTGAGCTTGGACTATAGCTACTATGGCAGTAAATGAGTCCAACAACAAGCAGACTTAAACTCTTTCTATCGATATCAAATATAAATAGTGGACTAAACATGAGGTCCCCAGAATGTTTGTCCCAGATATCCTGAGTAAAATACTGATTTTATGCCGCTTTTATCATTAAGCTTTCGGTGTTTTTTTCTGTCTTTAAAGCATTTGTTGCTATCGTACCGCTCGATCGTATACTTAGTTTTATAGTCTTCAATTTCACAGTTGCCATTTATATATTTTCTCGAGGGTTTTTACTGCCCAGTTAATAATACATGCCAGATTATTTAAATTACTTTGTTAATGGCTACCGATTTAAATAAAAATAATTATGTTTTTGCCAATGCTTAAACGTTTAATGCCTTTGTAGGTTTTATGGGCCTATTAAAGCGGTTTCACCGGTCTTTGCTAAGTGATTAAATGTCGCCAATTCTAGAATGAGGCATATATTTTCTTGATAAGATGATTGTGTCTCGCTGTGGGCGGTACCAAGGTGGAGCTTTCATAAAACGTCGGTTTTCTTCTATTCTGACTATTTACGTTTAACTAATGTTCAATTCTTTGGTATCAAATTCGCGTTACGTGAGCACTTTGGGTGGCCTTTCGAGCTGTTACTTCCATATCTCCGTTCGTTTGGTCTTTGTTATGGTAACTGGATATTTTAAACGCTGTCGCAGACCAAACAATCGCATTTTGCAAAATATGAAGATCTTATAAGACTGGCTGTGGTCAATTGGAAGCGCCAAACTAGAACTTTCCGTAGCAAACAGTTGATTTAGACGGCGCTTGATTAAAACGCAAGGTGACTTTGGCAAAAAACAAGTGATAAGGGAAAGAAAAACGCTAATAAGGCGCAGATACCTGGAGGTTTTTTTGGCCAAAACCATCACCTTGAAGTTATGCAACTGTTTGAATGAACGCACCCACATGAAATAACCGAAAAATCCTATTTAACATTAACTAAAGCAACCAGTGCGTGACCTAATATTTGTTCCATAAACTATCTTTATGATATCGACCTTTAAATGACATTTGTTTTTGTTTTAAGTAATTAATGTTTTATGATAAAATCGTTCATTGATTGTGAATTTTTCATTTGGCAGCAATTGTTCAAACTTATTCCGTTTTCTCATCATTATTTAAGCGTGTGATCCAAAAGTAGTTTATCACGTTAAAACGGTCAATCGAATGTCTTTTATTATTCCTTCAACATTTTTCTCAAATGCGTTATCTGTTATCTTTCTTTGTTCCGATTCCTACAGGGAGAATGAAACTTTCTGAATGAACAGCTTCAGATATTTCAATTTATTTCCTTTTGATTGTTCAACGCTTTTCCTAATTCTATTGACATTTTTCTACAGTGAAGATATGAAGTGTTCAAGTTTAAATCGGAATTCGAGTATTTTTAAAATTTTCAACCACTTCCTCTCTGATTCTGTTCAACCCTTTATCTCCCTATCTTTTTCTTCATTTTTATCAGAAAAACTCCCGGTTTGTCTGGTTTCGATCCTCGATAAAAAATTAAAATTAAAATGGCCAAACAAACGTTATTTTTTTAAAATCTATAACTCTACTTGATTCTGTTCGATCCTCGTCTCTTTTTTCTTCTTCATTTAGATCATCGCTGAAGAAATGAAATTTCAAATTTTTAATCCTCAGTATTTTTCTTTTTTTATTTCTTTTCGATTGTCGACGCCGATGGAAAATTGAGTGGTATTTTTCAAATCTTCAACTCTCTTGTTAAGTCACTTCAAACCTCGACTAGGGTTTTTCCTTAATTTTGATCTCCGATGGAGAAATAAATTTTGTAATATGAAATCCTCATTCAAATGGAAATTTTTCATTGTTCAACGCTTTTCTTAATTCTATTCAAAAATTTTCCCTTCACCTTCTTTGCTTCAATCGCCGATGAAAAAAGCAGTTTTCAGTTTTAAATTGGAAATTAAACAATTTCCGAATCTTCAACTCTTTACTTGATTCTGTTCCGAGCCCCGTATATTTTTTCTTCTTCGTTTAGATCGTCGGTGAAGAAATGCATTTTGAAATCAGTATTTTTCTTCTTCCACATTTCCTCTTTCTTTTCTTCCTTTTTGGATCCTCGACTCCGATGGCAAATTGAATCGTATTTTTTAACGCTTCACCTCTCTTGTCAAGTCACTTCAAACCCCGACTAGGGTTTTCTTAGATTTTGATCTCCGATAAAGAAATGAACCTGGTAATTTAAAATCCTCATCAAAAGTTTCTTTTTAATTATTCAACGCTTTTCTCAATTTTATGCCTAAAATGTTTCCTTCTCTTCTCCTTTGCTTTAATCCCCGATGAAAAAAAGAAGTTTTTATTTCAAATTGGAAATCGAAAAATTTTCGAATCTTCAACTCTACTTGATTCTGTTCGAGCCCCGTCTCTTTTTTCTTCATTTAGATCGTCGCTGAAGAAATGTGTTTTTTTTCGTCCACATTTTCTCTTTCTTGTCGATCCTTGACGCCGATGGCAAATTGAATCGTATTTTTCAAATCTTCAACTCTCTTGTTAAGTCACTTCAAATCTCGACTAGGGTTTTTCCTTAATTTTGATCTTCGATGGAGAAATTAATTTTGTAATCTGAAATCCTCATTCAAATGTAAATTTTTCATTGTTCAACGCTTTTTTTTAACTCTATTCACTTTTCAATTTCAATTTGAATCGTCACTGGAGTATTTTTCAAATCTTCATCTCTTGCCTTGATTCTGGTCAAACCACGTCTCTCTTTCGATCCCCGCTAAAGCAATACACGAAATTAAATTTCGCAGCTAAAATCGTCAATCGAATTTTCAACTCTTCTGATCAGCCTCTTAAAACGGCGACGGTGTAATTTTTTCTTCATTTCGACCCCGACAAAATAATGAATTTTGCATTTCAAAATCGTCGATCAAATGTGGCTTTGAAATTCTTCAACGTGTCTTAATTGAATTCTAATTTTTTCTATCTTTTGTTTCGATCCCTGATGAAGACATGAACGTTTCAAGTTTAAATTTCACCAAATTTGACTGTCTAAATCTTCAATGTCTCGCTTCTTGTCTCTTCATTTCAACCCCTTCAATTCTTCAACTCTCTTATGTTATGCTGATTTCTTATTTTCGAAAGCCTAGATGATGGAAGAGCAAACGTGAAAAACTGATAATGAATCGTCGCAAGTCTAAGTGGCCACCACTCGTATGAAACATTACGATTATCATACGAATGTTTGCTGCTATTAAGGCAAATTACATAACAAAGATATGGCACATTTTATGTAGATATTTCCGACATGGAGCCATAAACGTTCATAGTTGGGGTTGCAATAAGACCGTCGAACATGTTCACTTTATAGATCGTAAACATTTTTACCTGGCCGCAATTAAGCATAAGAGTACGCGAATTTCGCCTAATGGCTGATAAGTCCGAATAGTTCCCTCGAGCTTTTAGTTGCGAAGATTACGCTTCTTCTGATGAGTTGAAGAGTCGTTTCAAGGGCCGAATTTGAAACGGTAATAACACGTCTCCAGACTCTCCAGTGGCTTTGATTTATCGCACTCGAGCAGTAACAAAGGCTTTATGGGTCATAATGGTGAAAATTTAATATTTTTACCGGTCCGAACTGGCAGGGAATGTGGGAACGTATTGCAGGTGCCGACAAGTTCTGATAAAAATCCCACTATTCTCAGTTAATTACCGTGACTTTGATCACCTCTTTGAAATGGCGACAAATTTCAACTTTAATTAGTCGGATTTTCTAAGCCATATTATACCTTGCAAATGGGTTTTTCCCAAAAGTACATTTCCTTTTCACGGGACTTTTGATGAATTAACCGAGACTTAATTCAGACTTTGAACGGACAACAAAAATATCCATTTTAAACTAGGAATTTCTTTTGAAGTTGATTTGGAATGGAACGAACAAATGTTGCCGATCTTTGGCGATTAATGGTCTGTTCGCGATCATTCGCAAACCTTTGCATGAGCTTGTTCGGTATATATGTTCTGTAAAATCAGCTTAAAACGTTTGAGGTCCTTCGCGATCATTCGCACAGAAAATTACTTCATTTCATGATCTAACAATAATTTATCAATGTTCTGTTCATTCGAACCGAGAGGCTTTTATGGGCACACAAGCATATATCCTTCAATGTTTCTAATTAAAATTTTTATGGTTTACTGTCCTTTTTGAGCCATAATTGCAGCCATAAGCCCTCTTTTATTGGCCTTTATTGTTCTGCAAAATTTCCCCAGATGATTTGCGAGCCAACAGTCAAAAATCAGTCGTAAATTATGCACAGCAATAATATGTGAACGATTTTTTTCAAAAGCCACTTGAGACCTGCCAGAGTTTTACGGTCTGGTGCAGATGAGCTGCAGACTAACGGGATTTTAATTTCGGGATCGTTCTAGAAACTATTCACTAAGAGAGGCTGGATATGAGCAATTTACTCCCCGTCGTTCACCGATCTGACGCAGGTTTTCTTTTAACTTAAAAACATTCCAAGAAGAATCTCAACAGACTTGCCAAAACTACATCGTTGTTTAGGAGATTTTCATTCAAAAACCATTCACCAAAGCCCTTTAGCTCCATCTAGCCCCTGATGAAGCAACTCCAGTTGGGTAAACGCTGTGTGTTAGAACGAGAGAAACACTGCACTGCATTTGTATTTCAACTGACTCCGCATAGTTTCGTTTCTTTCTAACCCATTGGTTTAAGCTTCTGCCTTGTCACACTTGTGAAAATCTTTGATGTCTTTCTGCCTTATCGGTTCTAATGATTGTTTTGATTTTTTTAGGTGTGCCATTATGTACCTAAACTTCACCCAACCGAATTACTAGTGTAGAAGAAAATTTGTGATTGATAAGTTTACATAAGTAGGGACGTATTCCAAATAGCTCCGTCTTCTATGGTATTGTGCTCGTCCTGTGGCGGTTATTTCGCACAATATCCTGCTTCTGAAGAGCATTACGATTGTATTTTTTAGGCAGCGGAAGCGGCAGGATATTGCTCGAAGTTAGCACCGAAAGCAATGTACTCCACCCAAAGTTTAATAAATAATATAATAAATTCTGGAATTTATATATACATACATAGTTTAATGTACATAGGTTCGGATACCATTAGATTAGTGTAGACGGCAGACACTCCCTGTATATCTAGGGGCTAGATTTTCTTCTATAAAATTCTATTCATATACAGAGCGCAAAATTCAGCATAACATTCAGTATATGTATGTAAATGCCTCCGACTTTCAGTGTACACAGTGTGGGCGCAGTTTGGAAGCATTTTTAATTTAATTATCGTAATATCAATGTTCCTAACATTATGCTATTTTTTTACTATTGTAGTGGATTTTTATATAGTGTGGTTTTTTGTTAGTAACTGTGGGCCATCAATTGGAAACCGCGCTAATTTCAGCAGCCCCAAGATAGGAAATTGATTTGGTCGATTTTGGGCACTTGTTACACTGAGAAAAAGTTTCACAAACCAAACAAAACCGTTGTTTCCTTTCCTATCTGGGTGTACTGAGAATGGGATCAGTAGTGTTTCGATTTGCCATACTTGCGTAACATTAATTGCAAGAAACTACTAGAGCGTTCCTTTTAGGGCCTAAATGATTGGTTTGAATCACGTGATATTGTAAATCGATGCGTTTTAGCTCTAGGTTTTGTAAATATAGATGATAAGCATACGGATATGTTCGAACAAATACTTGTAGGACCTAAAGAAAATATGTTTTTCTGTAGTTTTTCCAAAGAAAATTCCTGGATTTGGGTCTTGGTTGTACTTTAGTGGAATGTTATCAGTTACAGGTTCGAAAATTGTTTAGTATTAATGGGTTTCAATGACATACATCACCATAAACATGCCGAATTGTCTTTAGTACAAGTTATTTATTGCTCAATTTTTGTTAACTAGTTTTTAGAGTCTGAAAATTCGAAATGGGCTCACACCAACCATCTGCGATTCGAGTAAATAAACCACCCCATTTTCTTATCTAGGAATCATTACTGATAGTTATTGTTCTTGACTGTACATAGAATTTTTTGTTTTGTTACATGTGTAGTAAGTGACTTTAATCCGTAGCATTTAAGGTAAACGTGTTTCTAAAAATTTAAACCATGTACTGCAGACCCTCTAAATGTACTCAGTAAAATAGATGTTTATGTTTGAAAATTCGTTTTTTTGCGCTTTCCTGCTCCCAGTAAAACCCGATTTAATTTTGCCCTAAGGAAGCAGCTTAAATTCTAAAACTTAGCAAATAAAATCGCTTTATAGGCAATAAAATTAAGCTATAAAATGTTTTAAATCTCTGATAAGTTTTCCTAGTCAACAACGGGGTGTTGCAGCTGCATTATTGATCAGTTGCAGCAGGGAATATTTTATATATTCATGTCAGTAAGTGTCGATTTCAGGATGGGAACAGTGATAATTTCAGGCACCCCCAGCAGTAGTCTATTAGCTCTCATGAGGTAAAAGCTGAAAATAACACTCCCAAAACACATTATTCCTTCGATGCTTTTTTAAACTCTTAACAACTTGAATTTCCAAATCTTGAGGCAAAAGTTAACGAAATATTGTTTTTTTCATTTTTCATTGAAGTTTCGAAAGTTTCAACCAAAATTTAGGATCCCAGGATGAAGTGGGGATAAATTAAAAAATGTTACTCTGAAACAAGACACAGCAACAGTTTGGACTTTTAGTACAGTGAATGGAAAGGTTTAAGCGTCAAGTTTTATTAATTAATTTTAATTATAATCGTAGTATTGCTTGCTTTTTTAATTGAAAAGTGAAAAACTGAGTCTTTATAGTAGCAGGGATGAAGACAAAATCGTAAAATTCACACGGGTCCAAGTAGCAATTTGAACCTTTAGCACAGTAAACAAAAGCCAAAATTTCATTGGAATACAAGTTTTGCTTCGGGTTTTAGACGCTTTTAACGTTGCACCCCACATTTAGAAATTCTGGTATCAGGGGGGGCTGAGGAACAAAATTGTAATTTTCAATCCATCCACAACTTGAACCTTTAGTGCTGTGAATGCAAAAGTTTGTGCTTCAAGAGGGCAAAATTGAAAATTTTCAAAAACAGGATTCGCGGGTTTTTCAGACCCTTTTAAAATTGCACCCAAAATTTAAGTGTATCTTAGTATGGAGCTGGATGATGATAAAAGCGGAACTCCGAAACTCATCCAAGCAGCAATTGGAACTTCCAGCACAGTGAACGAGAAGTTGTTAGTCAAATTTTGCCCAAATTTCATTAGGATCCACAATTTCCGTGGTTTTCCAGAAGTTTTCAAATTTGGCACCAGAATTTAAGAATGCCGGTAGAAAGCAAGTCTAAAGAGAAAAAAAGTGTGACTCAAACTAGTCCAAATAACAACTGGAAATTTTACCTCAGTGAACTGAAAGGTTTGAGCGTCCATTGGGAACATTTTTATTAAAATCCTAAGATTGTTTGGGTTTTCTGAAGCTCTTAAACGTGGAACAAGGATTTAATACTTTTCTTAATATGGAGCAGGGATGAATTCAATATCGTCTCCCAAACTAGTCAAACGAGCATTTCGAACTTTTAACACTGTGAACAGAAAGTTTTGAGCCAAAAGTTAACAAAATCCCATTTGGATCCAGGTTTTACATGTTTTTTCAGAAGCTTTGTAAGTTGCAATCAGAATTTACGAATCAGTCAAGCGGACAAAATTCAATCACAATTCAAAGATTGCTACGCTTTTCAGCTTTTAAAATTGAGGCGAAATTTTCTTCAGTAAGCAGCGGAACCAGAAAAAACGTAACTCCCAAACTGGTCGAAGTACGAACTTGAACGTTTCACACCTTGCAGAAAAATATTTGAGTCTCAAGTTGGCAGAATTTGATTGCAATCCAAAGTTTGGTTCGTTTTGCAGAAGCTTTTAAAGTTGGCGAAAAATATTTGCTCCAATAAACTTTTTTTCATTGCAATTTAAAGAGAGTTTCTGTCTTGAAACCCTGGTTTCAAAGACTGCAAAGACCTAAAAGAATCTGATATTTCCCAATTATGAGTTTGTATGAATTTTAAATCTAATGATGGCGCTGTTGTCTCGCCGAAGCGTTATAAAATAAAGGATATACAAATTTTTATTTCACACTTGGAAACCCAGGAAGGAAAATAATATAATAACAATTACACGCAGTCAGGAAAATAAATAAAAAAAACTTCTTGGTAATTTTATGTGGTGTTTTGTATTCCCATTTTCCACTAGGTTGGTTTCCCATGCTCTGATTTACACTGATTTGAGTGATAAATCTGAAACTCCTTCACTGCTCAGCTTTTATTGGCCAAGTTTAAAATTTGTGCAACACAAACTTCTAAATATTAATATTAACGGCCCATTTTATGGCCCTTTCTGTACTGAACGTAAAGCACTAAAATTTTAGTGCGCATTATTCCAGGGACACAAGTGAGGAGTTGGGATTTTTCGTTTTTGCCATCATCAATCAGCAAAGCAATTTTATTTTAATTATTCCTAGATCTAATAGTAAATAACTTGAAAATCCTACGGAAAAAGAGCGTCGCCAATTTCAGCAATATGATCCAAAATGAAATCGGCATCCTTTTTAGTGAGCGCCGAATTTTGCGACACAAATCTGAAGAAATTGGGCAGCGTTTTCAGCGGTTGGTAGTTCAGCATTACTGAGCCATGCTTCACCATTACGGCTTTGATTTGGGGTGCAACCTGAAAGGAAACAGTCGATTTTTTTTCATTATTCAGTTTCTCTTCCTAAGTTTCACATCTGGTTTAAAAAATGGGTTTTGGGGGTACTGTGGATGTAAACCTAGTCAATTTGAGGGGAAGTTGCATATATCCCTGTTCTTGAAAGCCCCTGCCATCTATGGCCAGACACTTGAAACATTATGCGGTTTAATACGTATGGATTGGGAAGAACTACAAGCGGACGCACCATCTGTGCGAGAACTTTGAACGACGCGCTTGTTAAAAGCATTGCCAGATGGCAGTAGCAGGAAGTAATACAACCACAAATGCTTAAAATGCCCAGAATACTCTGGGGGATTTTTTCGTCTTCATTGACTCTTGAAAATCATCAATTTCAGCTTTTCTACTAGTAATTATCGTTGCAATTTTTCCGTTTTTTAAGCACAAACGAAACATGAAATTAAGTCTGTAATAGGGGATTGAGTACGAAAAAATCTCAGCGAATTTCTGGCAATTGACTTGATGAAACGCTTGAAAGAAAGGCGAAAAACCAGCTTATAATTCGCGGGCTTTAAAAAGTTCTCAACTTCACTAATGAATTTTCAGGGTCTGCCGTTATTAAATTCGTTCGAGGCTTTGCTTAAGGGGATTTTTGCTTAAAATACGATATTAGCAGCCTAATCCTTTTCACTTGAACCGGCAAATATGATTTCTCGTTACATTTTCCGACCGCATCGATCTGGGACATCGTTAGCCGAGGAAATTGGTCCTCTTTCCTACCTTTTGTAGTTGGGCGTTGTAGTCGGAAATATTGAGTTTCCCCCGCAAATATCTGGGCAAATACCAAAAGCAAACATTCACGTATTGACGCTTTGAGACTAGCACGAAATCCGGCCTGGCGTTAACTTGCTGCTCGAAATATTCCGCCAGATCCATCAGCGTGTCAATGTGCTTGGCAAATCCGCATGAACCCTGAAAAAAATTGACTGAAATTGAATCTACTTAACACTCATGGGATGGACATAAAGGCGGATAATTTCCCCTTTATACCCCATTAATATCAACTTAATACTCGTAAAATGTAATGAGGGTATGATATTTAATGCACGGGACATATTACGGCGAGAAAATGAGGAAAGTTATGGGGATTAGATCGCGACTAATAGCCGGCCGTAAACAGTTCAGTTTACTACCTTTTTAGTCCCAATCTATGGGTTGTGCGAGAGACGAACTATCGAAAGTTTAATAACAAATGAGGCGTTTTGCAATGAAGCCGGCACCAAATTATGCACTAATTGCTAAGCGCTAAACTGCAACCGCCGGCCGGATCACTTTGTGCGGAGAAATTGCATTTTAATTGGCCTTTAATTATTTAATTTTGGCGAGTTGATTACCGGTAGGCTCTAATTACTTTCGGCCTCATTCAAGCTCTTTTTCATGCAAATCGAATGGTGGCAATCGCACTAATTGCGTAAAAATGAAATGAGTCGACTTGCCGTCCATCCCTGATCAACTATGGCGCTTAATTTCACTTTGAAACCAGTTGAGTCGGAAAAATCAGAGTTTCGTGCGATCTTCGTGAAACCTAGTGCAATTTTTATGCCAATTGTTGAGGCTGATGTATCTTCTGTAGACCCTGAAAGTGTATAGCTACTGTTTACTTCTGCGTTAATGCTCCTGTGAAATCGCCCATTTTTCAACCAACTTTTCGAAGTTTGCAAAAATCAGATTGCGGTGTTATTTAAATCAAATTTCTGAGAGCTTTAGATTGACGAATTTGCCATTCACTGTGAAAGTTTCACGTTAATCCTTGCCTCAGATCATACGTTCTGAATTTTTCGAGCAGACGGTGCTCTGACTCAAATGGGCCGCAAATTGAACGACATTGTGCCCTTTTTAGACGGCAGAAACTTTCCCGTTTTCTCCCTGTAGCTCATAGATGTTTTTTTACAAGCCGTTGATAAATTGGGACTGAAGGAACAGCTTGTGCTTGCATAAATGCACTTGCAGAAGTTGGTCAGAACATACCTTGGCCCTCCACATGATCCAGAACTTGAAGACATCACATTTTCGGCCGCACTGCAGATATCTATCGCCTAAGTCATAGCTGGCGTCATAATATTTATCTTTCTGGAATAGATATTCGGCCCCTCTTGAATGACATCGATGCAGGATGTCCGGATGGGTCACGAGCAACATCGAACATTGTTGGGGCACGGCCAGCAACTTATGAGGATTGATGACTATTGAGTTGGCTGCCTCTATTCCATTCAATTTCGCTCTGCATTAACAGATTGACTGCTTTATGTCGAGGGTTTAATGAGTTTTATTATCGGCGTTTTAATGGAAAACTTTTTAAATTGCCGAGTTGGCACACATTTTAAATGTCATTCGAACTTGTTCTGTTAAGTTGGAGTCCGTTTTCCTAGCATTGCAGGGATAATTGGAAACCCCAATTAGCTTTGGGAGCGTGAGTGAGAAAATAGTGGCACTTTCTTGCAGAAAAAGCAGCACTTGAATGTCACAGGTTTTCATGTGCAAGGTTAGCTGAAATTTTTATGTTTTTTGCCACCTTTTTGCTCTTTCTCGTGGACAAATTGCGTCATTTTTGCATCACGAGAGAGAAACTTCCAAAAAAGCAGCGTCAGGTTTGAGTCGATTTTGCAACTATAGAAAACCACGCAAATCTAAGACTCTTGAAATCAAGACGTTTTTGAGAAAACTGGCCTTTATAAAAAGGCCAGTTAGTTCTCTTTGGAATGAAGTAATAATGAGCATTCTTGCTCATTTTGCTTCCGAGAAATGAGCAAAAACGGGACGGAAAACATGAAATTTTGCACATAATCTTGCACCTAAGTGTCTGATATTCAAATTTCGCTTTCTGGGTCAAAACTACTTGAATTTCCTTACTCATGTTGTTATTATTAAATTGAATGTTCAATTCTCTATCCAACGATGCCAAAACGAATTTTGTGGCTCAAATGGTTCTTGAGAAACTTCGAAAAAAGCAGAGTCATGTTTCAGCCGATTTTGCAACTCGAAAAGTAACACGCAAATAAAAACCTCTTGAAATGAAGACTTTTTTGAGAAAAATGCCAACATTTCCTTATAGATGGTTCACTTTCTAAAAAGGCCATTTAGTTCTCTCGGGAATGATGTAAAATGAACGTTCGTGCTCATTCCGAGAAATGAGCAAAAACGGCACGGAAAACATGAAATTTTGCACATAATCTTGCACCTAAGTGTCTGATATTAAAATTTCGCTTTCTGGGTCAAAACTACTCGAATGTCCTCACTCATGTCGTGATTACTAAATCGAGTGTTGAATTCTCTATCCAACGATGCCAAAACGAATTCTATAGCTCAAATGGTTCTTGAGAAACTTTGAAAAATGCAGCGTCATGTTTGAGCCGATTTTGCAACTCGAAAAGTAACACGCAAATAAAAAACCTCTTGAAATGAAGACTTTTTTGAGAAAACTGCCAAGATTTCCTTATTACTGGTTCTCTTTTTAAAAACTCCCTTTAGTTCTGTCTGTAATGATGTAAAAATTAGCGTTCTTGCTCATGTTGCTTCCGAGAAATGAGCAAAAACCGGCCGGGAAACACGAAATTTTGTCATAATCTTGCACCTAAGTGTCTGATATTCAAATTCCTCACTCATGTCGTGATTACTAAATCGAATGTTCAATTCTCTATCCAACGATGCCAAAACGAACTCGATGGCTCAAAAGGTTCTTGAGAAACTCCGAAAAAAGCAGCGCCATATTAGAGGCGATTTTGCAAAAATGTTTCGAGAACGAAATTCCTGGGGTAAATCTCACCAAAGCTTCGGTGTTTGAAGAAATTTTCTGGAAACATCCAGCTCCAGCTTCGAGGCTTTTAAAATCTTCCGGTATTTGCGAGCTGAGTTGTAAAGGCCCAAAATCTCCACTTTCTTCGGCATTTTCAGATTTCCAAACATTGTCTTGATTCGCATGAAGTGCTGTCATAAAAGTTAAAATTTCCCGACCTGAGTTGCAACTTGAAAAATCGACCCAAACTCCGTTCAAACAGGACGAAACTACCTGTGTTTTTGTGAAAATAACAGTCCTCCACCCCAAGCAGCGTCCACGTGCAGCCAGATCTCATACTTCTTGCATATGGTGGCAATAGCGTGAATCGGATCGAAAGCACCTCGCACTGTTGTACCTGAAACGAGCCCAACTGAACCACGATTTTCCCCATCAAAACCAAATCACCTAAAGTAGCCACCACCATCAAGGGCACCGCCCCTTCCAGCAGAACTGCCTGGATGGCTTCTTCCACTTTCTCTGGCACAATCTGTCCAACATCGTCTGTTTTCAGTGGCCACACATTGTCCTCGCCCATGCCCAAAAAGGCCGCAAACTTATAGGTGGAATAGTGGCATTCTTCTGAGGCCAGCACCACCATTCTGGGTAGAATATTGCAGCCTTTGAGCTGAAAAACGGCGTCTTTCAGACAGTCAACTTCAGCTGAAACTTTCTGGTACTTTGGCTTGGGGAAACTTGTGAAATCGGGCCAGATTCATAGCCGTCCCATTGCCGAATGAGCCTCCGGGACAGAAAATGCCGTCACTCCACTGAGGTCCCACCATCTTGCAGACCTCCTTGATTACGTGCTGTTCCATCAAAGTGAATACGGGAGCCACTTCGTAAGTGTAAACGCTCGCATTCAAAGCGTCGGTCAGCCATTGGCCTGCCAATCCATAGGGATCCAGCCTGGAATGAATGCGATGCATTTCCAAAGAGCTTTACGAGTGCCCTGTTTAGTATGCGACCGACCAAAGTCCCCTAAATTATTAATCAGCGATGTTTGAATGCTAGGCGAAAAGGAATTCAACCTGGATGGGCTCTGATTGGTTTTGGTCTTTTTGTCTCCGAAAACTCTTTAAAGCGAGCAAATTTCGCGTGAATTAAATAGAACTCACCCAGAGAACAGCTGGTTGATAAAATATGGATGTCCAGTCTTCACGCTGAATTTAACAGTGTTTTTCATGATCTGCAGCAATTTATCCTGACTATCGCCCGCTTGCGGTAGCGTAAAGTCAAATTCCCCTTGAAGCTCCTCTGGAGTTTTCCACAGCAGCACTTTGTCCCGCCTGGTGGTAAACACGACATTTTTAAACAGCAAATCGACGACTTTCTGCAAAAAGTCCCCATGAACGTCTGGATTCGGCACCGGGCAAAAATCAGCCATCATTAACGCGAGAAAAGAACCAAATAGAGCTTCGCGATGCGGCAGCCGCCCTTTTATCCTGCCACAAAGATAATTCGGCATCCTTATTAATTTAATTGGCTAATTAGATATGCTCGGGTAAGAGCGAACATTAGGCTAAAGGGGAAAAGGAACGAATGATAATTTGTTAACTCGTTATTTAAAAGCGAATCCACAATTCAAGCAAGACCATTCATTAAAACGTAAAGCCCGTTTTAAATGCTTAAGTAAACAATACGGATTGTTTAATAAGGTTTGTTACTTCAATAAAGGACCGGATTCGTTTCGGTTCGGCGTCTGCTTTCCACAGCTTTCCGTTCGAAATGCAAATGTTTGACCATTCCCTTAATGTAAAACCGTCCTGTGTTTTATATTGCGCTATTAAATAATCGAACTGATAGAAATGGCAATAAATCAGCTCATATGAGGGATTTTTTAATCAGAATGTTTTACTGATAATGACGAGGTTTTTACCAGTTATCGGGAATAGCTAGAAGCTTTAATTTTGAGCCATTTGCTAGAGGAATCATTCGTGCGAATGTAGATTTACTCGCAATTTTACTGGATTTTTAACAGTTGTTTAAAACTGAAGTTTGAAAAGCTTGACTTCATTCAATAACGTCCAAGACGTTCTTAAAAATTGAGTTGCTCTAAACGGGCAACAACTAGAAGGCACATTTTAGTCTCGTCTGGTAGAACTAAATACACTCTATATTTCCTGTAAGTTTTGTAGTTTTTACTGTTCCCTTGTATTTTGAACAATTTTTTAAATGTGAGAGATGATGGGGCGCCCATTCGTCAATCGCGTTCAAGAGATTCTTAAAAAATGCTTTACGCAAAATATCAAACAGCTATTGGGCTCCGTTTTCGTGATTTGCTAGCGAAAACAGAGGTATAACATTTCGAAAAACATCAATTTTTATTAAAATGTTATGAATTCTTAGCAGGTGTGTAAACTTGAGGCTTGAAAAGCCCAACTTTTTCAAGAACGTTCAAAAGGTTCTTAAAAATTGCGTTGCTCGAAACGGGCAACAACTAGAGGGCTCATTTTAGTCTCGTCTGGTAGAACTAAATACACTCTATATTTGCTGTAAGTTTTGTTGCTTTTACTGTTCTCTTATATTTTGACCAATTTTCTAAATGTGAAAGATGCTAAGGTGACTATCCGTCAATCGCGTTCAAGAGATTCTTAAAAAATGCGTTACGCAAACTTTCAAACAGTTGTTGAGCTCCGTTTCGAGTGATTTGGTACAGAAAACAGAGGCACAACATTTCGAAAAACATAAATTTTTATTAAACTTTCATGAATTTTAGCAGGTGTGTAAACCTGAGGCTTGAAAAGCCCAAGTTTTTCAAAAACGTTCAAGAGATTCTTAAAAATTGCGTTGCTCAAAACGGGCCACAACTAGAAGGCACATTTTAGTCTCGTCTGGTAGAGCTAAATACGCTCTATATTTGCTGTAAGTTTTGCTGTTTTTACGGTTCTCTCGTATTTTGAACAATTTTTTAAATGTGAGAGATGATGGGGAGCCTATTCGTTAATCGCGTTCAAGAGATTCTTAAAAAATGCGTTACGCAAAACATCAAGCAGTCATTGGACTCCGTTTCGAGTGATTTGGTAGAGAAAACAGAGGCATAACATTTCGAAAAACATACATTTTTATTAAACTTTCATGAATTTTAGCAGGTGTGTAAACCTGAGGCTTGAAAAGCCCAACTCTTTCAAAAACGTTCAAGAGGTTCTTAAAAATTGCGTTGCTCAAAACGGGCCACAACTAGAAGGCACATTTTAGTCCCGTCTGATAGAGCTAAATACACTCTATATTTACTGTAAGTTTTGTTGGTTTTACTGTTCTCTTGTATTTTGAACAATTTTTTAAATGTGAGAGATGATGGGGCGCCTATTCGTCAATCGCGTTCAAGAGATTCTTAAAAAATGCGTTACGCAAAACATCAAACAGTTATGGGGCTCCGTTTCGAGTGATTTGGTACAGAAAACAGTGGCGAAAAATTTCGGAAAACATCAATTTTCATTAAAATTTCATGAATTTTTAGCAGGCAAATTTCAAACCTGAGGCTTGAATAGCCCAACTTCTTTCAAAAACATTCAAGCGCACACATTGCTCAAAACGGGCAACAACTAGAAGGCACATTTTATTGGTAGAGCTAAATGCGCTCTATATTCAATGTAAGTCACCTTATTTAAAAGGGTTTCTTATATTTTCAACAATTTCCTAAACTTAGAAGTTGCTAAGGCAATTTTCGTGCCGGCACGTGCAAGAGATTGGAAAAAACGCATTGCTCAAAACAGAAAAAGTTCAAAGGCTCCCTTTGATCTGATTTCATAGAGCAAACCGGGTTCTACCAGTCCTGCAAGTATCGATTTACATAAAAAAAGTCCTGGATTTTTTTGAATGTGAAAGTTGAAAGGGAAATTTTAATTTGGCCAGGTTCAGCACGCTTCCGCTATTTCCTCCTGCTGCTTTAAGGAACAATTTCTTCTTTAAAACTGTAATGAGAAACCAGTCAATGATCCAGCAGCGGATTTTCTCGCAAAATGATGCCGAAAATGCGACTATTCCCTACTTAATGCCAGTCATTTGGCTGGAAAAATTCAATGATTTGCCGGGATTGAAGAGTCGAATTTCTAAAGCAGGCCCCGATCTCCGCCCGGATAGACACCTTTATATCGACGAAATATTTAAAGAAGGGCAAATGTGGGGTCTTTTCCGCTATTTACACTATCAATATCATTAATATTCGGATCGCTTCGCCGACATTTGTAAACCCAAATCGGTCCCGTTCATACCTGACAACGTTGAAAAGGTTGTAGCCCATGTTCACATCATTTATTAAAAATCGGCGCATTATCGCTTATCTGATTTGTCATCAATCATGTGCTGCAGTGTATCTGAGCGCGGATTTTTTTCCAGTGGGTGTGGCTGAAGAATTCACTTTTTTCTTTGCCATACGTGGAATCCAGGTGAAATCAGCTCTTGGTTTGCATCAAGTAAACCAATTT